GCTTTTCAGATTATGCTATATTAATTATAACATGAAGAATACATTCCAGGTAAATTTGTTGACAAAATGCAAACTAAGAGTTGCCTAATCTAACCTGACTCCACCAGATGGATTTGCTCCGCATATTCATCTGGAAACCTTCCGTTGAAGTAATTTTGTGAAGGGGCGAAAATACTGGTTAGCTGATTGGCCTGTGTTGGTGATAGACGGGCCAAATAAACCATCAGATCAACGAAGCATATGACGTACTAACAGAGCGACGACGAAAACACAACCACAAGCCAGGCTACTCTTGCCGAAACCAGTCGGGAGAAGAGCAAAAACATCTTTTCCTCTGAGAAAAGCCTCCAGAGCAGTGTTTTGCTCTTCTTTCAGTGAAGAAATACTCTGTAATTCCGATAAAACTTGCTTAATAGCCACGCTAACGCTAGTTTCATCGGCTAAAGCCGCCATGTTCTTTAGACTGAACAGTCGCGCTTCTCGTTGCGTCACACCTCAACCCGCCTCAAAGCCAACGCTGATTGGACGTTCGTTTGGTGAACGGCTCCAAATTTTCTTTAACTGAGAGTCTCCAGACTGATTTGCGAGTGAAACCTTGAAAGCTCACGAGATCAGGATGGTCTCACGAGGCTATGCCTAATCTGGATCATATTTGAAATATTTATTTATTATTCAAAGTGTGTTTTTCTTTAAAAAATGGCTAAAACGGAGGCCACAACCATTCATCTGCTCTTTAAGATATTAGCTTAAACAATACATACTGTCAGGGTATTGCCCTCTGTTTAAGTTTGTTTTTAGTTTCTTTGATATTCTGTGTCTTTGTAGTTGTTTTCTGTCAGTTTGGTATTTTCTAGTTACTCTCTGTTGCCCCCTTGTGCCTGTTCCTTTCCCATTGGCTCCCTTCCAGTTAGTTCTATTCACACCTGCACCATATCAGCTCATTAGCCCATCCTTTGTTCTGTTCCCCTCACAAACATCACCTCTGCAGTTCCTGCTTGCTGGTTTCATGTTGTTTTGTTGCTTCCTCCTCTTGTTGTTGCTCACGTAAGTTTTTCCCTGACGTTCATTTGATTTTTTAGTTTTCGGTGGTGATGGTGAGATGAAGCCTAATGAGGCATTGAACCGTTTGGCCAAATTGTTTCCCCACATTTCATGAAGCCCCATGTGAACATGTCACCAACTGGTGGAGTGCAGAACTACAGTTAGTAATCAAGTCTGTGATTCTTTTTTTTGCAATTGTTTTTCTTTTCCCATTTAAGTTCTTTTTAAATTGTTAATGATTTGTGTGTGTAAAAAAATCTTTTGTACTTTTTTTGTGTGTAAATTAGCTTAGCAAAGAAAAATCATTTAAGGTACACAGTTTTACTGCAATTTTAGTAAAAATAAGCTGACACAGACAGTGAAAGTGCATGTCCAAATTGGACAATGATGAGCAATATAAAAGGTGAGTCATTTTTATTAAAACATAATAGTTTTTCCTTGGTTTTTGGTTTTAATCTGGGTGGAAGTTATGTGTTTAACCAATATTAGTTTAGTTTAACCTTTTGGCTAAACCAACCAATCTGATTTGGCAGCATTTTTACCCAATCTATATTTTTACTAGGGATAAAAAATACAAATTAGTCACATTAGCCAAAATACTTGTTAAATATATATGCAACTTTTAAAAAATATATACGCAACTTTTAAAAGGTTAAGGCAGATCTCGAACCACCAACCTCATAGAAGTCAATGCCTTACAGCTGACATCACTAATAATGGTACAACAATACTATTTAACACTTAAGTCACAACTGTATCCCGCGGTTTGCTCAGATTTTGATCATTACATTGTTTGATCTACCTAAAACACTTTAAACCAAACTAGATGTTGTTTTTCCAACCAATCTATTTTTAGAATCTATTAAAACTCTATACAACTGTACGCAACTATCCTACAAACTCCCACATCTTTACTGAATACTGAGGCTATTTAAATGCCTGCCCAAGTTCTTGGGCTTTCTGAACCACTTCCTGAAGCGGTCAGGTGGTATCAGGGTAGCGAGGCTTTTGACGTCATCAATTTTGGCCCCTCCCCTAAATAAATGAAGCCTCGACACACGCTTCGTGGAAACGCTCCCTCCATTACAGACACACGCCTTGAAGTTGCAGCTCATCTCATAACATCACTAGTGTTCAGTATTTTTGTATTTTCCTGGATTTTTGCCTCAGTTGCCTGTGAATCGTGAATTAAATCAGCAAAACTCATCTCTGCCTACTCATCTGTGCATCTGGGTCCTCAAAAACCTCCACCCAACCTTGAAACATACAAGTCTTAAATGTTACCAGCTTCCTATGGAAGCCTTAAGGGTATTGGCTATTTGGCTAGCCTGTTTAAATTATTTTAAGTATCATTTTTTGCACATTGGTGCGATGGCTATAAAGAAAAGAATTGTGTGTTTTAACTTTGGTGTATTGGGTGAATGTTAAGCGTATGTTCTGGTTTTCTCCTGCAATCAGAAGACATTGTAGGTTAGCCTCTGACTCTAAATTGCCTGTGTAAGTGTGCTGTGTTGTCTGTCTCTCTGTGTTAGCTGTGTGATAGACCAGCAACCTGTATGTACCTTCAGCCTCAACAACCCAAAACAGAGTGGCTGCATCAGATGGATGATGCTTTAAAAATACCCTTCCTCTTTCCCGTTTTATCTCAGAAGTGAATGACATGCTTCTGTCCCAATATGTTCTGCTTTTACCTCAACAAAGACATTTCCATCTCCTGTCAGCTGGAATTTGTCTGAATGTACACCATTTTACTTTCCAAATGGATTCATGTACATAGGGGTGGCTTCTTGTAAGCAATCATTTCAGGTAGACAAATAGCCCTGAGCTGAGTGTCTCATGCTCATATGACTGTGATTTGATTCGGAATGTCATTTGAGATTCATAACACAGCCTGAATTGGATCATGTCCCAGCACCATGCCCTGAGAGTCCGCCCGCCCGCACTCAAACAAACATTCAACTTAAAGAAGAAATACATAAAAATAATGCAGTTGCTCACATACATCATGTTCTGCTAAAGATGTGTGGGACCTGTTGGGGCATAATATGAAACCACCTGAGACAGCCCTCTTTAGCATCCAACATCATTGAAGCACAGCTAAAAGAAAAGAAATGTACTTCAGTTTATTTAACTAGAAAAAATGCCAAATTAAATAGCAGATCTTAGTATATAAATATCTAATTATGTGCTGTAAGAAATAAAATAAAAAAGAACTTTCATATATGTTAATGTTTAAATGCATTATGCAATTCATAAGTACAAATACAGTATTAGGTTAGGAAAGCACATTTAATTTTTCAGTACTGATTTTATTTTTTTCAGAACTGTAGATTATCAGTTCATCCTGAATATCTATTATCAGTAAGCTTTACCAGTCATTGGAAATTATGGCCACAGTTGTTGATATGATTATTTTTAGGGGCAAAACTATAATGTATGTATTTAACTCAATGAGAAACATTTTAATGTGTTTAAAACATTTTGTATAATTAATTTTAATTCTATATATATTTTTGGCACCTTTTGGCCAAACATGCATAGTCAGCAATAGCTTTTTTGTTATGACCTGTTAGCATGTTTAATAAAAGGTTTGATACAGGAATGTCCTGATATACCTTTTTAATTTCCGATGCAATATTGATATTGCAGCTTTAAGTATTGACTGATACTGATATTGGACCCTGGACGAGATCAGCAGGGCTTGTCATAGGTGTCCTTTTGCGGATGAAGCAAGCAGTGGTGGGGAACAGCACCACTTTGCCTATCCACTAAGGCAGGCTAAATTATAAACACATTTATTATTGTAGTTTTTCTTATATTGCTTCTGAAATACTAAATGAATAGAACTGTGACACTTCAATGCTAAAACTCCCATGAGTGCCACCCGCACACCCTGTTTGCTCCTTGGTCCGTTTATGACTAACATCACTTGTCCTTGTGAAGAACTGTGCACGTGGTAATGTCACGGCACATAACAAACTATGCTTTGTATTACTTTGTTCACAGCAAAGTAACACAGACACTGTTTAAAAAACTTCTAAATTTCGTTCAGGTAAACTCTAGCACCAATTCTCTTTAATCATAATTTCTTCACAGACACAAACTGTAGCAAGTGAAAATGCGGAGGAGACTAGCTACATTGGAAAAACAAAGAAAATGTACAATGGGCCGCTAACGCCCTTGAGAAATTTTGATATTCTGGCCAAGGAAGACAGAGGCTTTGAGAGAGCTTTTAAGGAAGCCATCTTTGTTAACCTGGAAAAAACGATCTCTCAACAGAGAAGGTGTTCTTAGACATGACCTTTTACCTATTTACAGAGCACTTATAGGAACAATATGTTAGGTTTATTCTTTATACATCATGTGCATTTTTACTTTATTAGCCAGATTAGAGAGAGTAGATGGCCTTCCTTCACATTGTGGATGTCACTGTGTGCACGGAGGTCATCTAATCAGGACAGCCTTCGTGCCTTTAAAAATACACAGGATATGGGCACATCTTGGAGTGGATGTGGCGTTGGATGTTGGAGTTTGCCCTGACATCGAAGGGTTAACGGTTCAAGCCCCGGCTCTGACTTTCTTTGTCGTTGTGTCCTTGGGCAAGACTCTTCGCCTGCATTGTCTACTGATGGTGGTCAGAGGGTCCGGTGGCGCCAGTGTACGGCAGCCCCGCTTCTGTCAGTGAGCCCCAGGGCAGCTGTGGCTACAATGTAGCTTGCCACCATCAGTGTGTGTGTGAATGGGTGAATGAATGTAGTGTAAAGCGCTTTGGTCAAGTCTCCTGAAAAAGGGCGCTATATAAGTACATGCCATTTACCAAATATTTCAATTGTTTCTTTGTCAGGCTGATTTCTGATATAAATATCAACTCAGCATATCCCTAATATGAAAGCAGACCCTGAATGAGTCTAAGGTAGGATCTGCACTGATTAACTTCTTGTTGACTTTTTGTGTTTCAGATTTTGATGACCGGGACACGGACCTGTTCTTGTGCGACACCAATACCTGCAAGTTTGATGGGGAGTGCCTAAGAATTGGGAATATGGTGACGTGCATTTGTGACTTTAAGGTAAGGGGTTTTCATTTAGCTAAATATGCTTGCTTTGTCATTTTGTTGATGCCAAGATTGTTCCAAGGGTTCCCTTAATTTTTACCCATTAGTTAAATTGTGGTCAGTTTGGTCCAACGAGAAGATCTCGACATAATCCCAGACATTTTAGATATTAAAATTGTTGCATAACAAGTTCTGGTCTGGCAAAAAATGATCTCTCTTCTTAAATGTTATAAACTATTTTTATATCTCACTTGAATCAGTAATATGCATTGTTAGTTATTAGTTTTCTGGCAGATGGTGATTGCTGTGCTCCATTAGGATGTTCTTACATCACCTGTTCTGTGTAACATATGTGGGCTGATAACAGACTGTTTCTATTGGTTATGTATCATGATATAACTTGTTTGTATCAGTTGATATAGATAATTATTGATTAGTGTTCAATTCAGTTTATTTATATAGTGCCAATTCACAACACATGTCATCTCAAGGCACTTCACAATTTACCAGACCATCCAGTTAAATTGATTCAAAGTTTTCTATTGAAGGAAAACTAGTTGATTGCCTCAACTCATTGACTTGAAGGCAGTCCCTCACACTAAGCATGCTTGTAGCGACAGTGGAGAGGAAAAACCCCCTTTTAATAGGAAGAAACCTCCAGCAGAACCAGGCTCAGTGTGAGCGGCCATCTTGGGTTCAAGGAGGCAGAAGCAGACATAATTTAAATGACTACGCCTGATTAAAATAAAACTGCTGAACATTTAAGACTAGCTGCGTTTCTATATACAGTAAACTATTGCTGTTTTGTTTACCTATTTTAATAAGTGCAATGGGAAAATTCATAATTAAAATTTAACCCTAACCGTTACTTTATTTAAATATAGGGTTCGGGTAACCAACTTTGCTTAGTTTGGCTCTGAAGGGCTAGGAGACTATATCCTTTCCTCTGCCTATGTCTCCTGGAATATTATGTGGTTCTCCATCCGAGTTCAGTAGAATTATTGAAAATGTATCTGATTTATTTTCTATTTATGCTGATGAAATTTCTTATCATAATATATTTTGATCATAATTTATTGCCCAGCCTTAAAACAAATGATTTATATTTAGTCGAATGTGATGGATGCATGTATTAGGTATATGCAAATATTCCACCAGCTGGGCTGGTAGTTTGTTGGTGTTTTTTGATTTTTGAAATATGGGCCGGTCCTTGTCATTATTATTAATTATTATTCTTTATTTGCCCTGCTTGTTTTGATAATATGGATCAGTGTTTTATTTGGGTTGCAAAGACCAGCTGAAGCAAGTGCTTCTTACTCCTTCTGGGTCCTGTTTAGATCTGCTGATGGAGCCATTTTAGAGAAAAATGCACCATGCTTACATCAAAAAGAGAAAAAGTACAGATGGTAACACTGGACCCACTTGTTCTGAGACCTTCTGCTGGATCCAGCTTATTTCCTACTAAGCTACAGCAGATTGAAGGCTTGGTGTTAATCCAGCAGTTATTTTCACAAATTTTCTTTTTGCTCATAAAAGGAAACAAATCAGATAAAGAATAAACAAATTAATAAATGGTAAGAAACAGGAATTAAATGTCTTGCAGAATTGGTAGGATTGTAGTAAAGTACTTATTGGCTGTGGATCTACCTTTTCTGTCCAGGTGTACCGCTATAAGGGCGGGGCAAAATATCAGGATTTTAAGAACACATCTATATATTTATAAAAGATAAAAGAAAATACTTTATTATTTTTATTATTTTGCTTTATATAATACCTTTATTATTACAAATATCTTATTTTTCATTAATTTTCTAAAGTTGTTGGTTAAAAAAATGTGAGTGTGTGACTCCTGGGAAAAGTTTTGATTCAGAGATGCCTTTAGGAAAAGAAAAACACATTGAAATTATCATAAATTTTCATTTAAATTGATAAATTTCAATTTGACCATTTGGAAACTATGGGTTCTAGCTTCTGGAAATGTGGCATCTTTAATTCCTGGAACTTTATTTTACCTCATTAGTGCTGGAGCATTAATTGTGAAAATTGTGAGTATGGATTTTTGAAACACCTATTTTTTTTAGAGCTAAATAGGACTTACTGACCTTCTGCATAGAAATACATTGTTCTCTTGTCACCATGTTTAAAGTTATGGATGATTGGTGTGTGTTTTGTCTAAAAAAAAAAAAAAGAGAGTAGATAATTAGTTTGATTAAAGTCCCTGTCTGGAACAGACATTATTAGTCCCATGAGGTGGTCGTTTCATTTTATGAGTCCAGTTTATGGCTCCCTGTGGACCCGTCATGGTCTGCTCATTCATAAAGAACACTGTCACATACAAGACTATCAGCAGGAGCCTTTGAAATTCGGCTCTTCTCTATACAGTAATGAGTCATACTTAATTTTATAACCAACTTTTAGGAAAAAAAAAGGATGCAATTCAGTTAGCCAAGAGTTGATTCTGGTTTAAAATCTACAAGCTTCGCTGATTAAGAGTCTCAGATAAATAAAGCCACTGAGGTTTAAAGGCTTAGTACTCACCCCCATCCATCACTGTTATCAGAACGTCATCAGCGTGAGCGGCAGTAGGCACGCTGACACTCGATTGGCCGGCTTTTATCTCCATTTCTTACTTCCCTGAGAGCAAACGTTAACAGAGGCCCGCAGATAAATGACATTACAGCTTCATTCCTCTCCAGCAGATCTGCCACTGATACCGGTGTCATTTTGCTCCAAGGCGTTCTCAGGAAAGAGAAGATTACAGCCAAAATTTCTGACTTGACATCATAAGTCTGAGGTTAACCCCGCTGTTTGTTCTAGGTTTGTTCGTGTGGAGGTTCTCGGTGTCACCGTCTTTATTTCATCAGGCAGAGCAAACGTGACCTTCCTCACCGCTCAAGTGAAGCAATGCCCTGAAGCAATCGATCACTCTCGATCAGTGTCAGATAAATAAGTCGAGATTCTTCTCCTGTTGGCAGTTTATTCAAGCCTGTCAGAGAAGACATGGGAGTGGGATAAATTCTCATCCCAGATGGATTTCTTTTGTTCTGACCAAAGCTATGGATGTTTACACACATTCCTCCTTTTGCTCTCACACACACACATGCACACTCAAAATGCATGCAGGGGGCTCTGAAGAGGAAGTGAGTTTGATGTGGTTGAATCAATGGACACTATTCATTGCCAAAAAGCATTAGAGTTGCCACAAACTGACTCTTGAAGGAACCAGGACTTTCTCTCACTGCACTGATCCAACTGACTTCTTTGACCCATTTGTCTAAAAAGGATTTATTCGTTTATTTTTACCACGTCCCTCGATACCTGCAGTAATCGCATTGCATTTTCTTTTAATTCATCCCATAACATCTGTTGGGAAAAGCTTTAGTTTGGTGGTTTGGTTATGTTAATGTCGGGTCACATTGTTGATTCCCGAAGGGCTCGTCCACTCTAACAATATGTGCGCTCACGGAGCTGCGGAGCGCTTCAGCTGAAACCGACCACCACAGAATAAAGAGCACATTTTACTGCTCTGTGTGTTGATGCTTTGTAATATAATGTTAGAGCTCTGACTCATAAAGGATTCTTTGAACAACCCACTAACTACATAAAGTACTCCATTTTATTATGTTTTGACCTACATTGGAGAATATAATTCATGCAACAAAAATAGTTTAGAATATTTGGTTTAAATCAAGTTTATTAACTCTGTTTCTGCAGCAACATTGAAGGAAAACAAAAATATTTGCTTTTCTATGTTACAGTTATAATGAAGTTATCAAGTAATCGTTATGGATTTATAGCTTGTCATGCTAACCCTAGCTAAACAATGCTAGCTCAGCTTTACAGGAACAGATTCTGCATTTCCTTCAGACGTCTGTACATACATCACATCCTGCCTAACTACAGCTATTTAAACACATTAGAAAGTTCTCCGATTAGGATTGTTTTTAACTACTGTTGCACCGATACCAGTATTGGGCAGGGCCCAGATCCAGCACTAAAATGGTGGTATTGGCGAATACTAACAAATAGGGCACTGATACCATTTTGAGAGCCAAAAGTTTATTCAAACATTGTCACCCATTCCAGGTAGGCAATAAAAATGTCAAGAAACGCGGACAGATGGACCCGGTATCCAAGGAGAGACAGCCAGTAGGAAATTTCAAAAAATGTGTTAAATAAAACAAACTAAAGTGGGGCTGTGGCTCGCGGGCACTGCAGGATGGGGAGCGGGGCACCGCCCAATCTCAGACACTCTGGTTTAGCAGATCAGTCCATACCCCTTGAGAGGGCTGCAATCCAACCGATGGGCTGACAGCTGACGTGGCTCGCGTCACCCAGAGTGTCCCCAGTGCTGCAGCTCCGGAGGAGTTGCAGGAAGCCGATCCTGATCAGGGATTCAGATCAGGCAGGAACAGACAGAACAGGCTATAACAGAGCTCTGGGACAGGTTCAGAGTCTGACAGAGTTCTGAAGCATGACCAGACGGTCACGCATAGGAGCAGACAGGATCAGGTGCAGATGAGCAGGCTCAGTGGAAGAGGGTAGCCGAGACAGGACGTGGAACCGGAACTTGAAGCAGGACTTTAAACTGGTCTCCTCCCTGGAGCCAGGCTTACTTTATAAAAACTGAACCTCCCCACATATTGAGCCAAAAACCCAGAGAACTCCGCGGGGGAGGAACAGTGGATGATCAGGAGACGAGACAAACACAAAAACCCTCTTTCCAGGATCCAGGACATGAACCATGAACTAAAAGTGAACAGACAGACTAACAGAAAGACAAGTAATGATCTGGCACTGAATGTTCAGGCTGAAATGAATATAAACCAGAGGAAACAGGTGAGAGGAATAAATTATAATTGAGGCAGGGAGGAAAAACGGCAGGTGAAAGGAATAACCAATTAAGCAGGAGCAAACAGGCCAGATCATGACAAAAAAGTTCTACTGGATTAACTTTATCTTTTTCCTGCCTCAAAAGTAGGCAGCAGCTTTTACAAAGCCTTGATGGCAATTAT